TGTGAGAAATATAATGCTTTCACAGTGGTCTAGCGTATTTTATACGATACATTCTGTTCTCAACTATGGAGGGTTCTTTAAGCAAAATGACCTTTGTCTTAGCATTCACTGATACATCACAACGCAGTGGCTCTGAAGAATGTTGCACACATCTGCTACTGCTCTCTTATGAGATATCAATTTTAGTTGACTAAAACCAAATTTTATTAGACGTTAATACCAAAGTCTGCATTAATTTAATTAATGTGATATTTGCACACCTAGTCTTCCTAAAACAAATCCTTTTTATATCTTGCATTTGGTTTTAAAGAAAAGTATGATATTGTGCCACTTTAACATTCTTTGAAGATTTGTTGCATAGTTCTAGTGATATATTATCCTTTCTATGAACAAAAAGCTCCTTTAAAAAGTTGAAAAAAATTAGAGGGATTTAAGTATATTTCTTAAAACACTGAATTTAAAAGGCATGAGATTTTGGATGGGAGACCTATCACTTTTGGTGAATAATAACACTGAATGACAAAACTGGGCACAACTTCTCTTATATCTCTATTTAACTTCACTTTCAACTGGATCAAGTCTTCTGTATTTTTATTGAATTAGCACTGTGGCTTCACTAAATTTTCTTCTGATCAAGTCTAGAAAACTTACCCTTCTATATGTGATGCCAGTAAGACACTTGTCCTTTTCTGTTTGACTTAGTGTAGGCAAGTTTTTGTCAGACCCAGCAATTTTTTTTTGCAGCATTATACTTCATCATGTTTCATGTAGATTATTTCTCTTTCTGGTTTATGTTACAGGAGACTGAAGTGATAGTCCTCAGCCACTGGAGAAATTTTTATTGCAGGGTACATATAGTGTAGGCAGAGCAAAGGATTCACATATTCACATGATTGCAGGGAGATGAATGTTATTATTCTGCTGGGTTGTCAGTTGTTAATAATTCAAGATAGCAACAGCTGAAAAATAACTATAGAAGTTACACCAATCATGTACTCTTAATAAATCAAAATGGAAGGACTTTCACTAGTGAGGCAAAACGAGGGCTAAGTTTGCTTGAAACTAGCCCTGTAGTAGCTTTAAGCTAACTGGAGAATATCCTTTTTACTTTTCAGGTGTAGGGTCTGAATAAAGTGTGTGGGACCAGACCACTGGCGTAACAATTCCAGACAAACAGTCATTGCACAGGAACAGGTAATTGTGTAGCACATAAGCAGTGGTTTCCCTGCACCCTGAGAAACAGAGCACAGTACATCGTGGTTGGTTTCCAGAGTGCGAGAATAACTTACAGCACATCAGAGAAAGCTCTATTAAGAGGTAAAGGTCCCTTCCCACTGTGTTTGACATCATGTGTGTGAGAAGCCATGCAGTGGAGACAGGCAGTAGGTGAGAAGCAAAGCAATTCCACCTAATGAAGCTTCCCTCCTGCTGACTGTTGGGAACATGATGCTCCCGAGTACTTGGATGTATTTTTTTGTCTGGGCAAACTTGACAAGAAAGCAGTGACTTCTGCTTTTGCACTAATATTCGGTGCTCTGAATTGCCTAAGAAGCACAACTAACTACCAAGGAAAAAAATTCTAGCTGCTTTTTTTGGAGCATCATATACACATGTGCTGCCTAGATACTTCATCATTAATGTATTTTAAGTCTGAGACTCCTTAATTAGAATAACAACTTGAAATTGCATGAAATCAGTGCAGGATGCAATTTGTATCAGAAATGTCCATAGTAATTATCAAGACTAGAGATGACCCAGACATGATTTAACTGAAGCATCGTGAACAAAGGAAATTAAATAAACACTCGGTGTTCCTGTGAGATGACAAAAGTGAGTCCCTGATCACTCCCTCACAATGTGACTTTATTCAGAACTGATCTGGCATGCTAATGCAAGGATTACTTCTTGCTGTTAAACCCCTCTGTCCTTGTCTTCAATATGATTTCAAATGGTGAATTCCTTTAACAATATATTAGTAGTTAGTGAGAACATATGTCAGATTTCTACAGAGAAGTAACTGCATCTCAGGCAGTGACCCCTGAGTACACTTAGTGAATCTTCTAGAGGAAGCCCCTATAAATCATTAACTGTCTAATAACAATATGATCAATACATTAATCATAATCAAGTTTTGGGACTTTAAACAGATTGTGTTAGGTTATGTGATTAAAGGCTCCTCTCCACGGCTCAAAGAAGCATAGAAGCACCGTGACATGCGGGGGAAATGCCAATAACTCAGGGGTTTACTGCCTGGGGGCGTTGAACATATCATGGGATGCTGGGGAAGAACACGTAGGGATTGTAAAAGATCTAAGGTGTGATGCTTAGAGGAACCAAAGATGGGGAAAAGGATAGATTGAAGTGGTTCGAGAAGGAAGTATGAGAAAACAAAAGGACAAGGGGATAAAAGGGGAGAGCCATGTGTAAGCAGGGATGGTCAGTATGCTTGTCACAGAGTGGCTGCTTGGAGGAACCAGGAGCTACAAGCCAGCTACTAGTGAGACCATGGGGTCTGGGGCTGACTAAGACCAGTTTGCATGTCTGTTTCTCTGTTTGAAGCAACTGGAGCAGAGAGGATCTAAGAGCCAGCTGCTGGGGCCACTGTGTACATGTATGTATGTATTTTCCACTAATGGATCTTCACCCTGATCAGCCAGAGAGGGGAACAGGAGGTGGCCATTGGTGCTGTCTGTGTGTGAATGAGCATTTCTGCCTGGGGTAATGTGTATGTGTTTATTATCTACTAGCATGAGAGAAGAGCAGTTTCAGGTATCCTCCAGTTACCATAAGGTGAGCTTTCCTGTATGTGCGGTACAGTCGAGTATGGGGGTGAGAGGGACCAGTGCTGAGGCAAATATGAGGATAACTAGAAGCAAGATAATCTTGTTTGTTCTGGGCCACAATTAGACCATCTCAGGGCTTCTGTAAAAAAAAAAAAAAGTTACTTTTTCTGTACCTTTTGTCCTGTTTATCTGTAAATATTGTTATATATGTTCAGCTGTTATTTGAATAACGTGCTGTTGTTTGTTGTGATCCTGTCTAAGGATGGACTGTGGGTAGTGTCAAGAGAGGTTTCTTACTCAGCACTCTCTATCTAGTATGAGCTCAGCTGCAATTTTGAGTACACAAAGGATGCAGCTGCTCAGCTTCAGCAGAAAGGTAGGCAAAACATGCAAGTCGTGGTGGCTACACTGCTGCAATGCAGACCTTGGTGTTTGATATATCTCTGCTTCCCTCCTTCAGACAAAGTTGCAGTTGCACTCAAAAGAACATGTGATCTGGTGGTCTTCTGCTGACTGAATAAGGTGATGTCCTGATTGATTACAGTTAACGAAAATACAACACGGTACTCAGGATTTGTTTTCCTTTTTTAAGAACACGCTTACAAAGTGAGGAACTTCATTTCACAAATGTTAGTGTCTGGCTTGTGGAAACTAATGTGCTATTTCCTGAGAAATTTGGAAGTTTCTAAAGTTTCTTTTGACAAGAGTTAATCAATTTACTGGAACTGTGTGTGCAGCTGCTTCAGTTTTATTTTTACTAGATGCACAATAGAAAAGATCCTTCTATAAGCAAGTTATTACAGTTACTATGATCCTGCATTAGCATTATTAATATAAAATGATTCCATGTTCCCTTAGATTCTTCCCTTCTTCTATGAATGATCTACAAGAGCAGCAGTTTTACTGTGTTGCAAATATGCAGTTTACAAATACAAGAATTATTCATGATACTGTTTCAGCTTGAATCTTCCATCCCAGAGAAATGAAATTGTTGATTGGCATGAGTAATCCGTCAGGGATATGTATCTTTGCCAGCTCAATATTTTTCCAGCAGTCTTGTAATGGAAATGAGAAAAACTTGTGTGCATATTTGTATTTATGCACTAATGGCTGACAGTTTTAATTATTCCTTAATATTTCTATTTAAGGCACCAAACATTTAATCATCTGATTGCCCAGAATCTTCCTCAGCTTTCCATCAAGTTTATGAATAACTTGTAATGACAGATGGCAAAGGGCATCTCCTGACAGTTACTGACTGACTGCCATTGCTGAGACATAAAAGTCTGTAGGAGAATGGCAATACTGACTTCACAAAATAAAATCCGTGGTTAACAGCTTATTACACTTTCTTCCTAATCATATGTTTCCTAGGTTTGTTCTTTCAGAACCTCTTGGAATTATATGGAATGATAGCTGTCTACTGTCAGGCTAGTTAGTTGAATTTCCTGCTTTTAATATTTTTCAATAATAGGGAATAATGAAAGCCATTGTAAACTGTGGGCCAATAACAGTTTTGAGCGTGTTGGCAAAATACTTTTCTGTGAATATCAGAGTGTTACATGGAACACAATCATTTTCTTTAAATTAATAAATAACAAGAGTTGGACCAGGCTCCTGACTGCATATTTGTTGCCAGTATGTGCTGCTCCCTTCTGGCTTTCTTGAAGACTAGAACATAAAACACTTTAGGGGAGACCATCATCAGTAGCTTGTCTAGCACGTTACTGTGAAAGCCATGCTTGTAAAGAAGATAAAAATTGATCTTTCTTCTTTATTAATACTGTTTGAAGGATCATCTTTGACTTCCCTTACTAGGTTCTAGACTAGCCCTGATAGAAATTCAGTATCTGTTAAGTTTGCAGAGCTGACACGCATGAACATTTGTTACATCTGAAATGAAATACTGATGACAAAATTCATAACTCACAAGACTGAAAGGTGGTAAAATTAGATTGGTTATTAGGACAAAATTCTTCCTTGTTAGGTTGATGACGTGCGGCACAGGTTGCCCAGGGAAGCTGTGGCTGTCCCATCCTTTGTCAGGTTATGCAGGGCTTGGAGCAACCTGGTCTAGTGGAAAGTGTCCCTGCCCATGGCAGGGGCATGGAACTGAATGAGCTTTAAGGTCTCTTCCAACCCAAATCATTCTGTGATTCCGTGAAAATAAATCCTGCAGAAGGCAAGGTCATGAACAGCTCAGTTCTCATAAAGTGGAAAGTTTAAATATATAAAAGTAAATTATGTTTATTTGAAAATCATAGGGGTCCAGCCTACATTGCTTCATTGCTTTTTTATTTTTCTTTCTTGTGCTTTTTTTTTTTTATAAGAGTTGCCATATTAAAAAGTATTTGTTTCTGATCTCTGTATAATGCTTAGGCTCCTTCCAGTTCCCAGCAGGAAACAGTCTGCCAGCTGAGCTAATTGTGGAGTTGACAATTAAGGCAAATTCTGAGGGCATTTTCTCTGCCTTTGGTACCTGCAAACTAAGAAAGAAACCATACATGAATTTCATACTGACGTAATGAAATTTGATGAAAACATTCATAAAGCAATAATATTTAGTTCATATGAAAAAAAGAGCTCAGAAGAGTACTGCCAAAGTTTCATAAGGACAACAATGTCTTTTTATCAGGGAACAGTCTGATTTGCAGTCTTGTCAGTTTTGATGCAGTATGTTTAGGGGGTTGTTTCTGTATCTCTACAACATGTTGTTAATTTTGTTTTGTACTATATTGTTTAAGTATATAATTCTGTTCCTTGCCCTCTTTGTGCTTCTCTTGAAACTGATGTGTTTTCTCCACAGCAGGGATAAATACATGTCCAGAAAGTTCTGGAAGCAGATCCAAGAGGAGCTGTACTGCTGAGGCTTTCATGCCTCCCAGTATGATACAGGAGATGCCTGCACTGTGGTGGAGGAGGAAAGGTGAGCACTCTCACTGTCAGTAGGTAACTGTTTTGCTCAAAGGTGTGTGAGTTTCAAGTTACAAGTTATGAATCAGAGAACTTGTGAGTTAGAAAGCTCATGAATTAAATGGTGAATTCCAATGCAAAGGGGATTGAGCCCTTGTTTGTTGTGTTTGTTTTCTTTCCAAGTAAGCTCAGTAAATATTTTCATTTACAGAGTATCTTGTCCTGAAAATTTGAGAGATCCAAACAGACTATGACCTGTATGCTTTAATTTTTTTCTGTGAAAATACTTGTTTTTGCTGTGCAACAGAATCTGTTGGGAAACAATCTATGTCACATCCATAGAGCAGTCACGTTAACGGAGTCTGATCAGTGTCAGTGTAGTTAATGTGAAAGTAATTCAGTGTGCTGTAGGCTGCACATGTGATAGGAAAAGAACTACTTGAAAAATAAAACTGAGAGCCAGGGAACATGACACTCCACTGGCACTATATTTTGCATGTGAAAATTCAGCATATTTTGAAGGTAAGTGGGAGCAGTCCTGCAGCAAAGAGAGACCCAAGAGGTGTTTCAGCTGGCTTGCAAAGGTGAGCCTGAGCCTCAGAGGCTGCAGGGGAACACTGGCTTCCACCAGTGTACACTTCCTATTGCCCATACCTCTGCAAAAGCCACTCAAGAAGATTTCAAGAAATTTCTTCTTTACTGGATGCTGCATGAGTGTCAGAATGCTTTGGCCTCAGAAGCTGGGCGTACACTTGCATAGTATTTGCTATTTTGAGCTGTACTTTTGTACCTTACAATCCTAAAGAAGGTGAGATACTGCTTTTCTTTGGAGAGGGTACAGGTTATACTGCAGAAATACATTTGATTCTGGCTTCTTCATATTATACCAGTGAGTAAAATTGTCCTATATAGTATGCAATACTAGCTAGCTGATATCTACAAATAGGTTTCTTGTGAGTTAGTCGGTATTTATCCTTGTAATTCTTGGGATTCCTGGCACAGCAGGTGTTACAAATATTCCTTCGCATGAGTACAATACAAAGAATTTGGTGAAAAGCTGTAGGATTCAGGTGGATCCAGCTGCTATGCAGATTTAGCGTGTTCTGGTTATTTTTGGTTATGAACACTGAATGTACTATTTACAGATTTAAAGAGTTTTATTTAAATATATTTCATTATGATTCATGCTTATGAATCATATGAAAAAAAGTGGTTCCTCCTAAGATTCCCCTACCATTCCTGAATGCCCTTAGATTAGTTTTGTGATGTTTTAGGGTCAGAATTACTTTAGAGACCTTACTTCATATCCCCTAATGAAATACAGTGCTTGCTTTAGCATGCTGTACACTTTTCTGCATGTGTTCGTTTTAATTTTGCTTGCTTTATTTGGTTAGGAGCATGTTATCCTTCAATCAATTTTGCAGTAATGTTATTTATCTCACATGCAGAGGCCTGACCCTACATAAATCTGTCATATGTAACAAAAAAAGGTAAAATACTGGAAGTTAATTTGACAGCCACGTAGAATGTTTCTGGTTACAAGTATTGACCAGGTTCATGCAGTCATTTAAGTCAGCAAACATAACCAGAACTGCTTCTCAAATTAATTGCATCCAGATTCATAATAGAACTTAGAAAAGAATTTTTTGTTCTTGGATTAAAAATGAACAGTTTTCAGCTGAACCTGGCCTAGAATAAGAGAAGCGTATTGAAAGTCTCAATTCTCATCCTTTCTAAATGTTTCATAAACCCCAAGCATTTATAAACAGGAAAATCTGCAGATACAAATGAAGCCATACATTTTAACAGCTGGAAAATGCTACTTTCTTCAGCACTCCAATTTTCTATATTGTTATAGCTGGTCAATGTTAACTTACAAGTAGCTTCAGTAGAAGCTTTGCATGTAAATCTGTCCATAAATGGAAAAACAGATGAGTTTCCTGCAAGTACTTAATATTCATTATGTCTCTTGAGATTCAATTTCCTTAGTATGACGTTTATTACTGCTTCACCAAGGCAGACTCATTCATATTAATGTTTCAAAAAATCATGTTTTAAGTATAAGCATTTCAGATAAATAAAAGGATTAGTCACCATTTACATCTTCAGGGAAAGCCACATGGTCAAATCAAGCGTGGATGAGTTAGCCCTGAGCAAAATTTTCCTTTGCAGATTTCTGGCAGTCAGGCAGTTCAGATAAAATATCCGTATATTTCTTAAAGTACACTTTGTTCTTTTAATTATGAAATAAGGTTATGATTAATGAGAAACATAAACTGTATGCATTGGTGTCTCAAGAAAACTTTTAAACAGACCATTTTCAAGAACTGAAGTACTAAGTAGTTTTATCTTTAAGAAGTCCCCTTTAGTGCATCATGACTTTGAAGGGCTAGTAACACATCTGATTGTTTTACCTGACTGTTTGCTTTATTAATGTCTCTCTGAAAGTCCTACAGCTTTGGGTGTCTCTCTGTGATGCAGAGTCATAGTACAGAAATTGTTGAGAGAAGTTACTCTTGGCTTTACTCAGCATTACTAAGTAGCAGTTTTCACCAAAAACTGAACTGCTTTCACCAAGAATTAACCTTACTTCACCTCTCAGTTGCTGGGTTTCACTGCTGTGACCCTCTGCTCAGAGGCTGGTGTGTTGTGGGAGAGCTGGCTGGGGAGAGCTGTTAACCCCCAGTGCCCTGCAACAGTGCCCCAACTGCCACTGCTCACAGCCGGAGGTCCTGCCCTGTCCCACACACCAGCTCTCAGTTGCAGGTAACAGCCAAGTCAGCATCCACAGAGCCAGGAGGCTCTCACTGTCTTTTCAGTGCCAAAAGAATGATTCCCTGATCTGTCCCTAAATGGAGAAGTATTAAAGCTATTGCCTGTAGTGGAAAAGCAGGTCTTCTCTTTAGCCGTGGCTTAGTTTATGTTAACTTCCAGAGCATAACTGTTAGAGGTACTATTTACTTCTGCATGGCTATTGCTACTATAGCTGCTTCTGTATCAAAAAATGTTTTGCCTATGTATTAGTATTATATATTCTATATAATGTTATTATACATATAGAATCACAGAATAGTTTGGGTTGGAAGAGGCCTTCAAAGGTCGTTTAGTCCAAACCCCTACAATAAGCAGGGACATCTTCAACTAGATTAGGTTGCTCAGAACCACATCCAGCCTGCCCTTGAGTGTCTCCAGGGATGGTGCATTCACCACCGCTCTGGGCAACCTGTGCCAGTGTTTCACAACCCTCATTGTAAAAAATTTCTTCCTTGCATGCAGCCTGAATCTCCCCTCTTACTTTAAAACCATCATCCCTTGTCCTATTGCAAAAAGCCCCCAAGTCTCTACCCATCTTTGTTATAGGCCCCTTTTAAGAACTGAAAGGCTGCAATAAGGTTTACCCAGTCTTCTCCAGGCTGAACAATACCAATGCTCTCAGCCTTTTTTCATAGGAGAGGTGTTACACCCCTCTGTGATTGTTTTCGTAGCCCTTCTCTGGACCTTCTCAACAGGTCCATGTCTTTCCTGCACTGAAGACTCCAGAGCTGGATACAGGACTCCAGAGCTGCAGTTGGGGTCTCACCAGAGCAAAGCAAAAGGGCAGAATCACCTTTCCAAAGCAAATAGTTTAATTTGCCAGTTAATGTACAAATAACTGTTTTTCATTTGTCAACCGTGTAAACTTTTAAGTTCCAACACTGCAGAAGCAAATATCCAAACACCACCTGATTCATAGTAAAGCATGCAGCTGTTCTAAAGTATGAAGTTCACTCTGAAGGCACAGTGGGGAACCAGTCATCTCTGCAGATTTAATTCAGTAGTTATTTTCTTACTCTTAGGTTGAAGAACACCTACACCAGCTGGATGAGTGAAACAAAATACTGAAAGAAAAATTAGTATCTCGTCTCCGGTTTGAACCAGATAGGGCAGAGGCACTGCTTATGGTAGAAAGCAGGGATGTTGCGTGTGAACCAGCTGACAGCAGTGAAAAAGACAACAGTAAACAGGTGAGAATGTGCATGATCTTGAACTAGACTATGTGTTAGTATTTGAATATCTATTCTGAATTGCAGTTAATATCCTCCTAGCTGTAGTTATACTAGAAGTCTGACTTAGAGTTTATTGTTACAATTATCTATTGTCTTAAGCTACAGTGAAATACAAAAGCATGTATGTTCTGAATCCTTTCTAAATCTGGGTACCCAACATCCCAAAATGAGATCTTTAAAAGCTCTTGTCAGTTGCTAATAACCCTGCACTCTTAAATCAAAGCCAGCACTGTTGCATTTGAGCTTCTGGACTGAACTCTGGGCTTGGGCAGCTGTGACTGTTGAAAGTGTCATGTTGCTGAGCTCTTAGGGACGTCTTCAGAATGGTCCAAACCCAAAATATAAACAGACTTGTAGCTGAACACAGGGGCTTGTAGAGGCTCTCCGGGCATTTGGAACAGCATAATTTTTGCACAGCTGATTCTGTTTGCCAGTGTGGCTTTGGGGATATGGGGATGTTTTTTCAGACTCAAAGGAGTGATGTTAACGTAATCCAAGATTTAAAGTATTTTTACATATAGTATTTTTTTTTTACAATTTCTTTTTAAAATCTGGCTTCTGTCCTGGACAATATTACATGAATACTTGTTAATTACATATTTAGTCATGGGAGTGAAAGTCTTCCACCGAGGAACCTCATAAGGAAAACTTCAGAGTCTGCTATTTATTGTGAGGCATTTACCTGGAGGAAATTTTCCTGAGTAGCTATTAAAATATGGGAATTTGAAAGAAACACATTTTTGCTTAAAACCCAGCTAAAGTCCTGCAATTGTTGGTGAAATCGCCTTAATTTGTTAATAACCAACCAATCTCTGTCTTTCCAAAGCAGATTACAATGTAGAGCCTCGCATTACATACTTGCTTTTACCAAATATGCACAGTATGAGTTAGACTTCATCATTTAAATTATCTTCTCATAACAGTAAACTGTAGCTCTCAAATATGAGAGAGAGACATTATATTCTGTTTCACATCATCTTAGCTTTTTCTTATTCAGTGTAAACTCTTTATTCTTATCTTTCACATATGATAGGAAAATTCTGGTTTATGTTGCTAATTTGAATAACCAAAATCAGACCTCTAATTTTATATACATGAATGCCTTACTCCCTCTATAAATCCATGTAATGAATCTAATTTACATGATTAACAGAATTATTTTCATGTAGTTAGTGTTTGACTCAAGTGTCCTGAAAAACAATTTGTTGTTTTAAATTTGAAATTTATTTATTTTTCTGAAGGTTTTTAACTATTTGATAGAAACAGCAGAAAGCAATTTCATGCTCCTTATGAAATACTAGACATTAATTTTAGTGCTCTGATCACTGTTATTAAGTAACTTCTCAAGATTCTTTTTATAAGTAAATATTCATACACATAAAATGCTGGATATCTTAACTCAGAAAAGCTCTGTAATGAAAGCTGAGCTAAGCCATCAATTGGTTTGAAAATGTTTTCCATGGCTGTTTGATTTATTTTTTTTAATAGATTTACTATATGACCAGTCACTCAGTGGTTATTGAAATTAATTTATTTCTCTGCCCTTTGTTCCCAGTCATCCTCAGCAGAGGAGAAATATCCTATTCTTCGCACAGCAGTTTACAGAGCAAGTGGAGAAAGAAAGCACAAAGCAAGGATAAGAGAGGAAGGCATTTGTTTTGGAAATGTGTATGTGAAATTCTATGTCTTTATGATAACTTCCTGTTCTCTGCTATTTGAAATTTGAAACAGCAGTGGGTGCCTTCTACTGAATTAATTGACTGCTTCCCTGTGAATCCTGTGAAGCTTGGATTGATGCTCGGGATAAAGCTTATAATTTTTGATCATTGCAATAGAGTCTGATCTTGTTTATGTCACTGAAAATCTGGAGAAGCACTAGTGAAGTCATTGCAAACAGAATGCAGTCTAGTCAAGAGGGAATGACAGACTATATAAACCTGTACAAATGTATTCCTATGTACTGTGTTGCTGTCGCATGTATACGCGAAGACAACTCTGGTTTTCAAATTTAATGATAGAATATGATGGCTGAGTTGATTTGTTTAATGTTTACTGTCTGGAAGTGAAACTAAAGGCGTGTTCACGTTGCTCTCGGATGCTGTATCAATACCTCTTGGAAGTGGCATGATAGGTGAATGGATGATGTTTAATGGCCAAGAATTGAAGATTCAGAAAAATAGAAAATTGCTGTAGTGGGATCAGTGAAGTCCAGGATCCTGCCTCTAATATTAGCAGGAGTAGAGGATGTTTAGGGAGACCACACAAGCCTGCATGGCTACCTTCTGTGGTCCATTTCCCTTGTATTTCCCTTACATCCATAGTTATTTGATTATGAATGTTTGGGGCTGTAGTGCTGCTGTGTATCTGTTTATGAACCTGTTGACCACGAACTTTTCTTCTCTGCTTTTGCACCTCCTCATGCTGTCATCTTCCACAGATACCTGTGTCAGGAAGCTCCAGGAGTTCATAATCCCCAGTCTTCCAGCAGTTCAACTTTTGGTTTCCTTTCACACAGGTGATGAGGAAGGAAAATGTTTTTTCTGAGGCTGAAGAGGCATGCATGCCTTCTTACAGGCAAAACTCTCTTCCTGAATTTTGTAGATTGGATTAAAACCACACTTGGCGAATTTTATCCTAAGTAATTTTGGGGTTTTGTTTTGGGGCTGGGGGGAGCTGCTAATGAAATTTGTTTGCCAGTTTCTTCTCAATGGATTTTGAACTAATTGATCTCTTGCATCTGAACTCATATGAGACCTGTAGACCTCTGGAGGATGTGAACATTTCAGTTTGTGAGAGAACAGGTTTTGTACAATGGGACCTCAATTTTCATCAGTCCTGAGCTAGGCCCAGAGGTCTCCATCCCACACATCAGGAAGTATCTGACCAGTAAGGATCTGCATTCTGGTTGTATCATCAGCCACCATACATGCTGCCATTGTCTAGTTTAATTAGTAGGTGATGAGAGAGAAATTGAAGATGGAAGTATTTCTGGGGAGTGATTAGGGGAGTATTAAAGAATGGATTAGGAAGCTGCCAGTCTTCATCAGTTTCAGTGCTCACAGTATGAGTTATTTTGTATGTGTGTATTTTGCCTACTAAAATTTTTTGCCTTTTCTTCAGAAAAGCATGTTAAGTGCTGCTGCTAGTATATATCAGGGACTGCTAACGAACAGATTTCTGTCTCATCCTTCATGGACTGTATTTGACTTTGCCAGCACTTTATCATTCCTCAGTTGAGAGGAATCTTATTCAGGGTTTCATTTGCTGAGGTTTCACTCTTTTCCTCTCACTCCTGTTTTCTGAAGGCAAAACTCCTCTTAGAACGGAACTGTGTGCACTGGCTGTGCCATTCAGTTCAGTATGGTCTAGTTCTCCACTCTTCTTTTTAGATTTTTCTAAAGTTCTTTAAGGAGTTTTTTGTGCTCTGAGACTGCCAAGAAAGGATTTTGTAACAGTTAGCTCCCAGCCCCCAAAATAAAGGATGCCCCTATATCTTTGAATTAAAGAAGATAGAGTCTCCATTCATAGACTCAAGTACAAGATAGTTGCTAACCACCGTAATTCTTCTTTCCAACCAGGGTTTGTGCATTTTATCTTTTGGAATAAATGCTCATATTTGATTGCATGTTATCACATGGAAAATGTAATTCATAGTGAATGAGGGCCATTACAGGGGAAGTTTATACTGATCTACTGATCTAAGAAGGATGACAGCAGACCAGTACAGCGCAACAGTGTCCTAGCTGGATAAGAAAGAAGTTATGGAATAGGGAACTTTTGAGATGTTTTGGTTTTGTTTGTTTGGTTTTTTTTTTTTTTTTTGTATGAATAGCACTCACTCCTTCCTTTTAGTAGTTTGTATGTTGGAATTCTGTCCTGGAAGAGAAACTTCAAGACTTTTGCATTGATATTCCATTATTTTGTGCATATATAGTCTGTGTAGGCTGTTGCTAAAGCAGAAAGTTCAAGCATGTGAGTTTTAGACAATTTCAGCTGCTTCTAAGTGATTCTTTGATGCCATTGCCACTCTGATGTAAGATGTATTATGAATTGGCCTTTTCAGTCTGAATTATATAGCCTGAATTTTTACAGCATATTCACAACAGAGTTGGACCAATGGCTGAAGTATAAATATCCTGATTTGTTTTCCCACCAGTGTTCCAGTGGTTTATTTTTGGTTGTTATTAAAGATGTAATTGGTAAATGAGAACAAACTGTGTGTGAAATCACTACTTCCTTTATAATTTTTATTATTTTCCATTTTGTCCTGACAAGGGAACTTTTTTGGAACTTCGGAGATTAAAAATGTATCTAAACTGTGTGTGTTTTCAGTGCATGCAGAGGCTGTCACCTGCAAGCTGTACAAGAAGCTGGTGTCGCTAACTTTTCTGTGTTCTTCTTTTCTTTGGTTTTAACTGCTGCTGGTTATTTTTCTTATGTTTTCATGCAGACAAGCTAATGTAGTGCGTATACTTCTCAGAGTTCTCTAGCTTAACCTTGAATTACATTTGCATGTGTATTTAACTTAAGAGATTTTCAGATTGGTTTACAAATCTAAGAATGAACTTGAAGAACCCTCAAGACAATACAAATCCTGTGTTATGGGATTCTTATTTGTATGCTTTCTCTAGGAAAGCATTTAATTAACAAAATACTGTTTATTATGTTTTTGCTTTCATAGCAGATACCATGCTGTTGGAATTACTAAAAATGAGAACAAATTATAGCATTGATTTATTTTTTTTTAAGTAGCATTTTCTTAGTTGTGCTTCCTAGAGCTTAAACTTAGCTTAATCTTCGAGCTCTTTGAGGTTAATCAAAATAATGGCCAGGCGCTATGCAATCCTGCTTCTGATGCCTGTAACACAAGAGGTAGGGCTGTAATTTTACTTTGGTTTCTTTCCCCACCCTCACTGTCTATCTTATTCATCATGAACAAAGCTCTTGTTCTGTGTCATAGGACAGCTGTATCCTAATCATAAATGCAAACCATTTTACAAGTCTTATTTTAGTTGATTGTTCTATTTTGCCTGTAGAACTGAATCTTCTCTTATTTTTTTTTCCTTCCTAAAAGACTATATTGTTCAATTTTAGACTCACAAGAATACATAAGGAGGGAAGAGAAGAATCTGTTTGTCAGCCTACTAGCATTTCAGAGCATGAGACAAAGTTAAAAAGCAGCATAACAAAACCAACATCCTTAATGTCAAGGAGTGAGTATTTGAAAATGACACTTCCCACAACTTCTGCTTGCAAAGGAGCTCAGCATGGTTTTGGCACACCACCTTTGTCTTATGTGCGTGTTAAAGTACCCAAAATGACAGAAAGAGTGGTAATAAAAGAGATGACTTTCTTTCCTCATCATTGTAACTGTTCTTTTCGAAACAGTTGTAAATGTACGGTGTCCCCCAGTGCATTTCTAACAAAGAATACTGTAAGTCACTGGCATTCCAGGTTTTTACTTTAGGTGTCATCTGATAGTTAATTTTCTTTTTTTTCTGCTGAAAATAACAGACTTACTGGGCTTCTAATATTTGGTGAGATGTAATACTGCAATAGGCAGCTGTAGTATGAACATACAGTCTGTCCTCCCTAAAGCCTTTGGAAGGGAATGATCTTCTTCCTCTAGGCATGTAAGGGGATGCAAGCCACACTTTAATTGTAGGAGGTGAATATAGAAAAGACTCTTGCAAAACCTCAGATCTTTCAAAAACCAAGAAGGAAAAAGTGGAACAGTGGAGATGTAGCACAAACTATAACTCAGTATAACAACTGTAAAGTGCATAAAAGTGTTTATTCTCATTTTAAAAAGCTAGTTATCCATACTTCCTTCATGTGTGGATTTACCTATTGAAAGTTTCTTTAAGTGAGAAGGCTCTGCAATGGGTCTCAAATATGCCTTTTCCAGTATACTATAATTAAAACTGAATATGTAATTGTCTTTTTTAATTGTCCTCCAACCAATTTGGGATTTTTCTGAAGATTGAAGTGAGATCATCTCTCTAAAGTACAAAACTATAATTCATGCTTCTATGTATGAGGAAAGGAAGCTATTCACAAAGACTTAGCAGCTCTTGTGATCGCAATTCTTGCTCTTTGAAAGTCATTTTAAGCTTCAAACTGATGGCAATGGGTCAAAATTTAAGCAAATCTGCAAGCTTGAGCTCATTTACTGTCATTAAGTTTTGGATTAGGCTTTGAATGAAACTTGCAGAAAACATTTTTGAATCAATTGTGTCCTGTATGTCTTCAGCACATTGAAAAAGAAAATCGAGAAAACTGCCATTTAAAACAAAGCATTGAAGTGTAGGGTGGCTCTGGCTGGGATGGGGTTAACTTTCTTTGAATTAGTCTGTATGCTGTGCTTTACATTTGTAAACAGTAAATTTGTAAACTGCTAGAACAGTGTTGGTAAAGTGCCAGTGATTTGGATATTGCTGAGCAGTGCATTTCATGGGGTGCCAGCTTTCTGTCTTTCAGAATAGATGAAAAGGTTTTCTGGTCATAAACTTGGCCAAGCAAATGGCAAAAGCCAAAGTGAATGTTATCTATCCTCCATACCTCATGGTATACGTAGGAAACAAGTGCTACATTTCACATTCAACCGTATTGAATGATGATCTTGAATACAAGTTTTACTATACTGACAACAAAAAGAAACAGCTTCATTAAGCCCATCAGAATGCATTTGGGGAAGTAGACACTGCAGAAATTTAAATTTGTAGGAAGATTAATAAATTAGAAAGTAATTGTGCATAATGATCTGCTTTAAATGACTCATATTTTCCTTTTTGATGTGTCAGTTACAGATAATGTTAGAAACACTGAAATGCAAACAGCGGTTTTGGATCCAAGTTGCCATAAAAAGACTCGTGAACAACCAGAAGTTGAAAGACCTTCTAAAAAGCCCTTCAGGACCAAAGTTTATTCTTATGATAGAACAGGTATGTAACTTGCAGCAGTGTGGGGGAAGACTGTGCTGTCAGTTATGCTTGTAGTGTCTTTACTTCAAATTTACATTCATTTAATGGAGAATATATTCAACTAGCTGCTGTCTTTCCTCATCTCTTTCCTGTGTTCAGAGTAAGAGTACACCTGAAAGGGAAAGCTGTAAATGAGAGAGTACTGTCATTTTAAACTCTATTTCAAAGGCTATGGCTTTACCCTCTGTATTTACCTTTGATGTTTAGGGTCTTTTTTTTTTTTTATACCTGACCTCAGAGCAGAATTTCAGCTAGCATTTGAATTTTTATTTTCTTTTTTAATATTTTATAGTTAGCTACAGCAAGTTTTCTTTTAATTAGGGGATTTGCAAGGAGTAATTATGTTTTCCTACTTGCCTCCCAGGAGTAGTGTGGGGGAAAATAGATTTTGGCCATTATTTCTCCATTAAAGCCTGAGGAACTTATACCACAACTGGATTTTATTTTTTTGCAGATGTCTACAATGTTTTCTATGCACGTTGTAATAGGGGTTAAAAAACATGGGAAAAAATACTTCTGGTGCTTTCCATGACTTCTCAAATTATTTTCCATAACGTTTATAGTATTTTTGTTCAGCTGGGGACTTGTTCCTCTATACTGGACCTGATTGGTCTGATTTCTAAAGGGGAGGCATGTTTGCATGTAAAAAGAACTTTCTTTTAAATATTCAGATGAAAAATTGTTATTCTTCTGTTGTCAACATTCTTTTTGTTCAGCTGAGATTTTGCTCTGACTTCAGAAGCCTTTTATTTCAGTTTTTTAAGCATTTGAAAAAAGTCTTTGGTCTGTAAATCATGTTTTCTGCCGAGTGTTTTGAATTCTGCTGTGTAAATTACACCAAAGATCAAAAGGTCAGTGTTAAATCTCAGGAAGTAAAAATTGCTTAGCCCACATTTGAACCACTGCTCTTCAGCTGCAGGAAAATTTGGAATAAGACCTTCTAGGGCATGTTTTCAGTGTCCCAACTCAGTCTGAATAACATTAGACCAATCCTCCACACTTATTAAGGCTTATGCAATGAAACTAAAGAATGAATGGCTGGCTGGTTGGCTTGCTTGTGCAATGAATCTAAAGGTTTTGTGTTTAAGGGGAGGAAGAAAACCCACAACTTTTTCTTTTTTCTTCAGAAGCAATTGATGATGATGCTATAACACATATCTTGAGGCTTCAAGGCAAACTTGGCTGGCAAACAAATGTGCAGTCATCTGAATTGTTACCTGGAGAGGCTGATGTGGCCAGATTTCAGAAGTTCACACTTGAGGTGATTTTTACCTTCCTTCTCAAATCCTGTGCAATTACACAGAAATGATGCTGGTTATGAATCTAAAATACTTATTTCCTGCAAGTTTTTGCTTCTTAAAAAGGACAGATCTGTTCCTAGAATCAACAAAAAGTTTAAAAATATACTTTAAAAAGTATAAACTATTTTATAATGGTTTATATTATAAATAAAGTTTATAAACTTTAAAAATTAAGTTTATAAACTTTAAAAAGTATAAACTATTAGAATTAATTCTTATTAGCAGAGTTGAGTTATAATTTTTATATATAGGAAGTGGAAACCAAATTACACTTTGCTATGGTCTGAGCCATAGCAGGGTTCTGGGAGGAGATGGTACCTAAAATTATACTGAGAGGAGAATAGTGGTACCTGGAACTACTTATTCCATCTCTGATTGCATAGCAATCACTTAAACGTAGCACTTAGTCAGTGCTCCAAATAGTTAAGCTGTTCTAACATTAAGCAGACTAGTGGTCGTGTCTGTTCAGATCAAACATGCCAATCAGGAGGGCAGTATTTGTTGAGTGATACTGGGCAAGCTGTTCTTGATGTAGCCACAGAGGGGGTTGCCTGTGTTCTCTTACTAGTTTGGTGTCAGTGACAGACACACACGTATCTGGTTTAATTATAAGTAAACGTTATAATTAATGTTTATTTATAAGTTAAATGCACACTTTTTCATGAACAAAAAATAATAAACAATACAGAAAAAACCCACCAGGTTTATTTCAATGTGCACAATGTTGTGAAATATTTTGGATACAAAATGAAAATGAAATTTGTGTTTATCCCTTGGGGCTTCTGATTTCAGATATGACTGAAAAATATTTAGGAAGCATTGTAGTTCTCCACAAGTCTACAATTTCTTCCAATTAAAATGATGTATTTTCAGAACACCTAGATACTCTGATATCTCTAGTCTTTAACTGTTAGGTGTTTGCTACTTAAAGGCTTTATAGTGTTTTTTAAGCTTAACAATGCTTAACAGTTTTTATAGGTGATGAATTATTGAAAAGTTTCAAGTTTGGATAAGAAATTTAGAATACTAACAAGGTTATGTGAGACTTTTCTCAACAAGAAATAGTAATACTGAAGTAGCTGCTGGTAGAAATGAAATATTATTTAGAGTGGAAATAATAGAGTTGAAAAATGTGATAAGAGAATAACTTGCAGGTCAATTCAGTGTTATTACTAAACTTGCTTATACAGATGTTTAAATACTGTATTTATCTTTTCATGATAAAATCTAGAGATATATGACTTGTAATTGTGGAAAACAAGTTGTATATCTAAATATAAATAATTTCCTCTTTTGATAGACACCTCTAGTGTTAGAAGATAGTGGGGAATTTATATATTGTCTTCAACGAAACAGGAACAACTTTAAAGCTGCCTACAATCCATACAATTTACAGGTTGTCTCTGTGCATACAGCTATGCATAGCAAAATATATTGAACTGTTTCAGCTTCATATGTGTCTAAGGTAATGTACAGCACACGGAACAATATGAGCCCAGAGATTTCCACAGGAAGAATTATTTTGCTTTCTATTATCGTATCACATTCCCATTGCAATTATGTTGCTTTCTTTGCTTATTGGTCCCTTCTAAAGACAAGTCCTCTGTTGGCTTTGAGCTGAATATAGCTCACCCTTTTGCTCATGCATGGGTTTGGATCTTGAACTATGCTATAGTTCAAGACTAGCAGTATCAGAAGATGGGTAACTTCAAACTTAGCACTTATTACCTACCTTCATTTCTGAGCGCAGTAATGTACAGGGAATACACTCACATCCTGCATGTTCTGATCTCAGACAAGGGCGTACCCTCCGCTCTGTTCATGGAAATTGGTAGTGTTTATGACTTACCTTTGCTTTTTCTTCCTTCACTCTTTGCATTGTAAAAGGTCAGCCCCTAGTGACTTACTGATTAGTCTTTGCTTAGTCTTGGCAGTATTTTCTTTTGAAAAAAACCACAAAAGACCAGAGTTTATTCTGTATCTCAGAATGAGGTCTCACAGCTGGTTTAAGCCTGTGTAAAGCAGCTGAGAGACTGGCTCTAAGCCACCCTCTCCATTGCATTGGCACTGGGCATGGCTAGTCTGTTGGATTGTCTGGCTAATTTAGGTGAAAATGAAAGAAAATACTTTGTGTATTTGTCTGCTTGCCAGGTTAATTGTCAGTCAGATTAGAGAGCTAATCCATCTCACCAAGAACACAGAGTACCGATATTCCTAAAAGAAGTGCTAAAAATAATACCTTTTAAGAATATGAGCATCACATTGCAGGATGTTTCATCAGTTCTTAAATGTCTTTGAAGACAACTCAACTTTGAAGCCCTTTTTCTCTTTAGCATCAGTAAATTTTAGAGCCAGTATGACACTAAACTTGCATGGAAGAAGTGATAATTGCATAATTTACATAATTGGATTGTTGCTGGATGCTAAAGTGAAACTTTTTATTGTATGTATGAGGTACTTGATTTAAATGTCAGAAAATTGTAGACATACCTTAGAAACTCATACAATTACTATTGTTAAAATGGGGAAAATGTGTTTTCTACCAGTGGAGGTACTAACCTTTTATAAAAACAAATTGGAAAAAAAGAATAAGTGTTGGGAACCTGACTTGGGGAAAAAAAGCTATGGCGTCGTTTCTTTGCCTTCAGAAAAGGCACTGTACCACTTGCTGCAGTACAGAAATTTGAAGTACAGCCAGGATTTAAATACAAAGTGACTTGTTCCAAATCATTGGTAGTAAAAGAGCTGCTGCTTGCTTTGGCTAACCCACAGAATGATTAATTCAAAACAGTTAATTGGTGCTTCGTAGCCAGTCTTCTATCTTTCGTGTTCCTATGAAAGATAATGAAGATTTCTACGTAAGTACATCTGTGCATTGCCAATTTACTGTATTCTTGCCAGACGCCAGTCTATAATTTGAAGCTGATTTACAATTCACGTTTATATCCTTTCACATAGGAGTACACATTCTCTTAGGAGAATGAAAATCTGTTTGCTTACCTTGTTGTTGCTTTGGTTCTAAGATGCACTTTGTCTACCTAAGAGGTATGGCAGAGGTTTGAGAAAAGTGTTTTTGGAATTCACTGCTAGAAGCTGTTATGGTGACGTATCTGCCCATGTTATATTAGAAATCTTTCCACAAGTCTAATTCTCTTTTTCCTTTATTCAGTGTTGCATCAGGTAGCAGTGGGAAAATACTGATATTCCATAGTTTTACTTGCTAACAGTAAATAAGTACATTCACATTTCTCCTTCTTGCATACCTGCTGTGAAATAAAGCGTATTTGTATATGAAAGGTATTAAGTAAGCCTAAATAAATGGATTTTTAAATGTACTGAGGGGTTTTTCTAACTAGGGACAGGCTCAAGACATCTGCATGAATGCTTTACTGAATAGTGTGTATGTGCCATAATTACTTATTTTGAATGACAGAAACTTCTTAGTATTTAAAGGGATAAAAACATCTAGTAACTGTAAGCTTGTTCAAAATTAAACAAAACCATGACTGGTAGACAAAATAAAACTTGGCGAGTTTTACCACCACTGGGGTCATCAATAATCATGCTTTGGGGGCCTATAGGGATGCTGGGGATAGACTCTTCATTAGGGATGTAGTGGTAGGACAAGGGGTAATGGGTTAAAACTTAAACAGGGGAAGTTTAGATTGGATATAAGGAGGAAATTCTTTCCTGTTAGGGTAGCGAGGCACTGGAATGGCTTGTCCAGGGAGGTTGTGAATGCTTCATCCCTGGATGTGTTCAAGGCCAGGTTAGATGACGCCTTGGGCAATATGGTTTAGAGCGAAGTGTCCCTGCCCATGGCAGGGGGGTTGGAACTCGATGTTCTTAAGGTCCTTTCCAACCCTAACTACTCTCTGATTCTCTGATTCTCTGATTCTCTGATTCTCTGATTCTCTGATTCTCTGATTCTCTGATTCTCTGATTCTCTGATTCTCTGATTCTCTGATTCTCTGATTCTCTGATTTGGTAATGCTTGTCAAATTATTTTTTAAAAGGACTTACGTGGTTTTTCTTCTTCTTTTCCGTAGTTTTCTGCAGCCCCTAAATTAGGACAAATGGAAGTAACAGTGGTGCCATTATGGCTGCATGAAAGACAGTTGTATTATAAGTTACGTGATGTGAAATTCATTTCAAGTAAGGAATGTAAAAGGAAAAAAGTTAACTAATTACAGTAATAGATATCTCTGGTAATGTCATCACATGCACTAAATTTTAGGAAGCAAGTTTTCCATTTGTTCTCTTTCAGGTTATACGGGCTATGAAATAGCTTGTGCTGCTTATTTATATAAAATGCATTGAAGCGAATTTTGTAGGGTAAAATAGAAGAAAATAGGTAGTGGTGAAATTGTCACATTTTTCTGGCTGGCTGTTTTGGAAACATCAGTAAAAACATGATAGCCGAATTTTAACCTCTTGCTTTGACATATATTAAACATCCATCTCCTGTACATGTGTTTCGGTATTTTATTTGTATTGCTTTTTGGTGAGATATGTTTGTTTCTGGTTTATTTTTGGTTTTCATCTATGGAACATTGCTGGAAGTGATTCAGCTGTGGTACTTGACCCTGTGTCTAATGTTTGATTTGTGCAGTCAAGATTTTTGTGTGTTCATCAGTCATGACAATGATGATATGAATTTCACACATTTTTGCAACTGTATTTTACGTTTGTCAGTGTCACATTCCACATATAACAATTAAACAAAGTCATAATAATCCTAGTTCATTATGCTGCTCCACAAAGTTTTGGTAATATTTGTTGTTATGAATATGTGTGTATATGTGTCAATTAGAGAAGTAAAAATTGCTGCCATGGGAATGCTTAGAAGACAGATTAGCCAATTTTAAACTTTTAAACAAAATTTTACCAGGCTGACTTTCTTTAACTGCATTTGATGCTATAACTGTGCTGAATGCTTAGTTCATATCCATTATCAGTCACTATCACTCTAAAGTCAGTTAAACCTTCACAATCTCTATCTGTGAGTATGCAGTACCACAGAGTAGATGTGTGTGCATAGCACAGTTCATGATTGCCTGGGTCACTGTAGTTTAGGAGGTAGGACTCAAAACCTGTCTACGAAGGGAAGGTGAAACAATAATGAACATGTTGCAGCTCTCCTCCCTGCCCAACCACATGGGGCATTCTACCCATTTATAAATGTATTGTGTTTATATTGATTCTAGAAAATTGGCCTCACCTCTGTGAGGTGCAAAAGCTTAATGAGTACTTTCCCAGGCTGAAGCACATGCATTGCCCTGTAGCTTGGCTGGTTTTGTTTGTTGATTTTCCCCAGCTGCTGTTTCTTTTCTTAAAGCAAAAGTAAAGCTTGTCCAGCTTTGTGGTTGTGTGGCAGTTTGATCACTGTTCAGTAGCCAGGAATTATGGATTCTGGGACCTCCTTTTGTTTTCAAACTGTGGGCATATTTTCAAGGCCTTTACTGTTATCCTGTCCTTAACCTACATCCCAAAAAGAAACATCTGGTATCAAGGTTCAGTTTACATAGGACATGCCAGCACAAGTTGGTAACAAGCCTAACGGCCAGCACTGGGGCTTAGTGCATAAGGCACAGTTAATTTAAAGCTTCTGGTTTGTTACTGGCGGTGGTAATGCTAAAAATAGTATTGGGCACAGAAAAGCTGATGCTGTTTTGGTACCTTAGGGATGCTTATGTTTGGGTTTAAAACAAGCTAATGCTAATGATTCCTTAGTGTACTTTTATGAGTGCACCAGCCTCTTCTTTAGCTGTACTGTTCATAAATGTGTAAGATAGATGAAGAGGTGTGGAGCAGATGTAGAAAGTGGAAACTGGCTACATAGATCCATGTCTGTCTCCCAACAGTATCAGTGCTGTTAATGAGCAGTTGCCACAGCAGGTGTGACAGTCTGTAAAATTTTTATGCATAAATAATTATTTCTGTTGCTTCTAGAATGAAGAAGTACTTTCTAGTCTGGAAAATCGGTGTTAGAAGCAAGATGGACAAGACCAAGTCAGTTTGAATGTAGGTTTGTCATGGGAAGAGAATAAAGAATACTTCCTCCCCTGCTATATGCTTTACCTGTTTGCATTTGTTTTCTTTAAGTACATTATAAAATCAAAGCTCAGGTTTCTCCAGATTAAAATTCCAGGCTCCTTCACAGAAAGATTAAAGTACCAGGAAACTTTTATTAGAGTAAGTCTTCCGTGATGTTGTGAACAGGTAATCTGGCATTTGTATAATTGTCTCTGTTGATTTATGTTTGTCTAGTGCCAAGCACAGTGGGGTTTTGCTTCATGACTAGGGATTCTCGCTAGACATAGGATGACAATAGTAATAATACAGTCTTGTACTGCAAAATGAGAATCATTGCACCAAATCCAGGCTAAATATGGGCTAGATGAGAAGATAGTTTTCAGTCTGCATGTTGAGATGAGTAAACAAAATCCCATCACACTTCATCTATTCTCCTTAAGTCCATCCTTTATTGGCATGTAAATAACATCTGTATTATGTAGGTTTAATAATGAAAAAGACATTGTTAACTCCTAACAAGACATTTTTTTTTCCCCCTTTTATTGAAATGTATCCTATTTTTAAGATTATTCTTAGAGGTTTTTAATTAGCCTTGTGTTAGACACTTTCTGGGGTTTATATCAAAATGGTTAGCCTTACGCTGAGAGCATAGGGATTAGATCTTTCACTTGTGCCTAGGGTAAAGAACTGGGAAAGGTTGATGGCTGTTTTCTTCCATTTGAACAGTTAAGTGGAAAATTCATAAACTGTCAGGTAGTCTTTTGTCTAATTTTAAAGATACTGAAATAGGAAAGGTGTTTGAGTAAACAGGGTTTTTAACTGCATAAAAGCTGAAAACTGTCTTTTATGGAATGCATCATTAAAAATAATACATGAGTTGGCTTCTGAAGAGAAAAACCTCATGTTTTCTCCTTGGTTGGCATTAGTCAGAGACACTTTCATTAATTCATACATTAATGCTTAACAGATACATAGCGCTTTCCCTTAAGCAGATTTTTTGTAGGTGGCAAGTTCATCAAAATTCAGTTGGGGCACATTAAATGACCTGACTATAGAATATTTTTAGTATGTTTTATCAAAATGAGATTTGTCTCTTGAAACGTGTTTTATGTCCTGAAATCATACAACTTCAAACTTTTATAACCCTTTTATAAACTACAAAGTAGTCCTGATGCTCTTCACACTTCAGCACTTGAGGAAATTTGTGGGGGAGCTTTTCCTGGAGACAAAGATGGTGAGATTGATCACAGTCTGTAAATTTGTGGAGGTTTTGGATTTGGTTTTTTAATTCAGTATGTTGAAGACCTTCTTAATAGGTGGGTTAGGGCAGGAAATCACAGAAGGACTTCCCATGCTATGTTGACTACACAGCCTGCTTATGCAACTGATTTTTACTGGTAAGATATAGATCTCTGTGCATGAAAAAAAGCAATTCAAAAATTATTTTGTTGAATTTGTTCAAATTCTTTATATTTCTCAAATGTCGTGTTGAGGTGAAGCTCAATCTCTTCAAACTCTTTGAAGTTTATTCATGCAATCAATGGTTATGCTTTGGTTATTTCTTAACCATTTCATATATGGTTATGCGATTTCTTATTTTAAAGTCGTTTAAAAAAAGTACTCTAAACAGGGATAGCGAAACTCCAACATACTTGAGCTGCACGTTGGTTTGCTGTGTTTTCCATCTTCTGTACAAAGGTGTGTACATTAGAATCATAGAATCATAGACTGGTTTGGGTTGGAAAGGACCTTAAGATCATCTAGTTCCAACCCCCCTGCCTTGGGCAGGGACACCTCACACTAAACCATGTCACCCAAGGCTTCGTCCAGCCTGGCCTTGAACACTGCCAGGGATGGAGCATTCACAACCTCCCTGGGCAACCCATTCCAGTGCCTCCTTAATTTCCTCCTTATATCCAATCTAAACTTCCCCTGTTTAAATTTTAACCCATTACCCCTTGTCCTGTCACTACAGTCCCTAATGAAGAGTCCCTCCCCAGCATCCCTGTATGCCCCCTTCAGATACTGGAAGGCTGCTACGAGGTTTCCACGCAGCCTTCTCTTCTCTGGGCTGAGCAGCCCCAACTTTCTCAGCCTGTCTTCATACAGATCACATAACCAAAAAAAACCCTCAGTGTCTATGTTTTGAGTTGGAGACCATATAATGGGTTTGTTATCCAAAACAAGAGGTTGTGATCTTAGTCCACTTACATGTTTATTCTCCCTATATAGTGCTCCTTTTGGGTGTGTATTCCCCCCTTCAGAACCTGGAATTTAAGATTCTGTTATCAAGAGCATGTGCTGAAGAGACACCCTCCCTTTGAATATTCCACTGCTATCAGCCAAAGGTATAAAACTCATTGCTGCTTCTCATCATCTTACTAGTACCCTAGTGTGTCCTTGCTAGTACTTAGTGTGACATATTTTGATAACGTTATTAAAAAGGAGTTATAAGTTAAATAAAGGAATATCTTCTATCATTTTAGTTGTCCTAAATTCTCAGATTTTGGATTACTCCTGATTTCAGTTATTTATGCCATTGAACAACTGGTTCAGATTAATATGAATTATTTTTGAAGAGTAGAGAGATTTTAAAGGAATCTTATGTAAAAATGTAAGAAGAAAACGAATATTCTAGAAAAGACCAGGCACTCAGCAGCTCTCTGGACTTGCTAGGAGATAACATAAATTATGCCTCATGGAAAAAGTGCTCTAGCTATAGTTGTTCAAGGATTTTTGTATGAACTAAAACCCAGTCCTTCACCTTTAAGAAAAATAATGGTTTTACAACAAAAAAAAAAAATCAAAAATGTCAAAACCAAAGCAACACTGGTCTCACAGCCATCTCTCTTCATGCCTTTTAGGTTCAAGGTCCATAGAACTACTACCGCCTGACTGATCTGAATGGTAGATTGACAAGGACCCATTCAGCAGCTGGTGGTGACAGCCAGCAGGACATCATTTGGTATCTCAGTGCTCATTTGTTACAGACTGTTCTTCTTGCAAATGTGGTAAGAATTGCTTAAGTCTTGTTAATTCCACTGTTAATTACAAGCATACTGTTGCTCGTAGTAACTTCACCAGTGCTTTAATAGGACAGTCCATAATTTGTGACTGTTCCTCTGTTGTACCACATTCTCCTCAATCCGAGGACCTACTAGTGAGCATCAGCATTCTTTTTTTTCTTATGGTATCAGTACTAAGCTCTATTTTGCTAATGTCTAAAATTATTTGTGGCCTGATACCCAGTGTTGGTGTTAACTCTTTTAGGGTTTGAGATAAATTCCCCAGCTTGCAAGAACTATGTCAGTAATGAAAGATAGATTCTGTCCTTGCTAATCAAGAGGGACTGAACTAGAAGTACAATTCAGATGAACAGACACAAGGAAGTTGTCTTCACAGTGTTTGACAGTAGTCTGCATATTTGTAAGGCTACTATAATAATGTTTGCTTTGGAGGTGCAGTTGTGGATAAAACCTTTAACCAAGGGATATTACCCTCACTTCTCGTTCAGGTTAACTAGATCATCTGTTAAGAGGAACTTAAGCACACATACCCATATTACTAGGACAAATCAGTTTCTTCAGGAAGACATCTGCTTTCAGATTTCAGAGCTTGCCAAATAAAGCAAAGTGCTGCAAGTAAAAATAAAAGCTCAAATAATATAAGGAGTTGTTTCATAAGCAAAACTGCTAATAAGAAAAAACAGTGCAAATAGAAATAGCAAAATACTGTCTTTCAGACAAGATAGAATTGTATCAATTGGGATTCTTCTAAGATTTCACTTTTTAAAACTTCCAAAATATTTGTAGGTGAAATTAAGATTTTTATTTTATTTTTGTTTTAAATCACAGAGAGGACGAACTTGTGTCAAACATAGTACTGGAGGAAACCCTGCACGAGAGAACTAACATCTTCTGATATTTCAGTCAGGTTTGTTCAGACCTTTATGACACCACTTTTCCGGAATGTCAGCAAAGATGAAAATAACTAAAGTTCCTCCTTTTTGAAATCAGTAGATTATTTAGTACTTCTAAATAGAGTTTAAGTAGAGTTTAAGCATATTTCTATTTAGTCTAAAATAAAGATGCCTCTGGTGAGGCTGCAGTTTGTGGTAATTCTTTTACCCCTCTAACAAAAACATGTCAAGGGAGAAGTACAAGTATTATGCAAGTTTTTTCCCTTCTCTGCTTACTGCTCCATTATATCACCAGTCTCCCAGCAACTTCGGGACAGTTAATTCGGTCATTCTGACTTACAAATGCAATGGGTTTTTCTGTGTCACTTTTTTTTTGGTATAATGTCTCAGGAACATTAACAGAGTTATTAAACAGACAGTGACTCAGTTGCTCTGCCTCCTCGACTTTCATCTTCTTTCTTTATACTTATTTAGGACTTTCTGTCTCAAACATACGGGTCTTTGCTATTTTGAATTTCAAAATTGTGATTTGCTCTTTGGAGTGTTTAATTTTAAATGTGTGAATTAGATACATGCTACCCCGGGTATACTGCTTACTAAGATGTTCTGTAGAGCTTTTATAGACTCATTTCCCCTCCAGTGAAGTATTTCAATTACTTGGAATCCTTTGTGTAAACACACTGACGATTCAATATAGCTTCAGCAAGGGCCCTGTGTGCAACCTATCATAACTACCCTTATTTTACGATGAACGAATTGATCAGGGAAGGAAGAAGACCTGCTTTTTACATTGTTTGCTGAAGGTTCAGAGACATTCAGAGTGCCAACACGAAACTGAAGGATGCTCCAGAAGGATGTTAGGTTTTTAAGTTCTTTCTGTGTGACCCTTGTCTGTCTGGTTTGAATAACTCTACAGGAACCTTTGTCATTATTCTTTACTATGAAGGCTGCAAAAAAGAAGGGTGAGAACAGTGCTTAAACCCATGACCAGATTGGGAACTACTTGTACAAATAGACCTATGGTACCAAAACAATGCAGTGTCCCAAGATTAAGAAATGAAGCTTAAGTGGCAGTGGTATTTTAACTGTAGAAGGATAATTCCAGAAAATCTGTAG